AGGCTCCATCTAACATACTTTGGACATGTTGTGAGGAGAGACCGGTCCTTGGAGAAGGACATCATGCTTGGGAGGGTGGAGGGACAGCGCAGGAGGGCAAGGCCCTCTATGAAATGGATTGATTCAGTGACTGGGGTTATCGGGATGGGAGTGTCAGAGACAGTGCGATTGGCACAGGACAGAGCAGAGTTTAGGGCTGTTGTACACAGGGTCGCTATGAGTCACACACGACTCGACAGCACATAACAACAAGAACATATACTGTGTGTTTAAAAAGCTAAACAATATATAGGTCTATAAAGTAAACCATACCACAAAGGTATATATTCCTTGGAACAATCAATTAATCAATCATATAAATCCAATAGGGCAACATAGATATCCTTAGATGGAAGGAAGGGACAGGACAGAAAGATAAGTTAAACAGTAAACAGTGACAGGGAAGAGTCCTGTTATATAGTGACTATAAGCAACATCCTGAAAGAAAGTGACTAGTGTTCAATAGAAAACCAATTTGCTCTATTAACTTATACTTAAAACAATAAAAAGCTGTGCTGGTTTTTTTGGGTTAAAATTCTTTTTTAAAAAAACTACATACATACACACACACACACGCACGCACACACACACACACACACACACACACACACACTATTCATTTAAAAATTATTGTTTCCTTACCCACACGAAAATCTAGGTTTATTAGTCAGTCCTCTGGAATCACAACTGATGTTCTTGTTTGGTAAATGACCAAGTGAATTGGAGGATGATTCTTGAGCAGTCAATACAGTAGAAACTGTAAAAATTTTGAAATTAAACTTGTAAGAACATGAGGAATATACATTCATTATACACATACAAAGCCCTCACAAATAAGAGTATTTTAAAAGCCAACTAAAAGTTTATTTTCCCAAATAAAATATGTAAATATAAATATGTGATTAATATCATTTACTGTCTTCCAATTATCTAAATAAGAAAAAGTTTCCTTAAGATAACTGGCAATTCTTAATTTTGTGTATGTGTTAAATCAATGTTTTTTACTGAATTTCATACAATCATGTGTTTCATTCATGTACATTGTGTTTTATACAATCATTCATATGCACTGTGTTTTCCATTATTTATCGAAGCCTTTTTTTTGTTTAGTTATACTAGTTTATTTACAACATTCAAATATATTGCTTTCCAAACTAATTCTTTCAATTTTCCTCACCCCCTCAACTCATCAAATTGTACAATACCATGATTTAATCCTTCCCTCCCCCTGCTTCCACGTTTACCTGCCCTTGGATCTCTATACTCATTCTACAATAATGGTTTTATACATTAGTTATCCTTGTAAGACTGAGTTACTTCACTCAGCTTATTACTTTTCAGTCCCCCCTAAGTTAGGTAATAATTTACAAAATCATTGTCCCTGAGTGCTATGTAGTTTTCCACTGTGTGAATGTAACATAATTTCTCAATCCATTCAATTATAATTAGACATCTGGGTTGTTTCCATGTTCTTGCGATGCAGAATGCTGCTGCGATGAACACTGGTGTACAAGTCTCCATTGGTTTGCAGTTTCTCAGGGTATATTCCAAGTAATAGAATAGCTGAGTCATATGGAATTCCTATGTTCAGCTTTTTGAGGAAATGCCAAACTGCCTTCCAGAGTGGTTGTACCATTTTACAATCCCATCAACAACAAGAGTTCCCTTCTTGCCAATATTAAAAGTAAAACATTCTTACTTAAAGCTAACTTCATTGTTTTTAATGTGCTCCAATAGGAATTTATTTGAAAAAAAACAAAAGTTAAATTTTACATAAGGAATCCTTGAAGACATGTCCTTTACAACTAAGGTTTAAGTTTAAATATTAAGTGTCTTATATAAATGATATTTTTCTGTATTATTCTAAATCTTTATTTATAGCACTATTACAGAAAAATATTAATGCACAATGACATTACTAGGGTTACCTGATAAATTTTTCTTTTCTTCCTCTGAAAGTAGTTGCTTTTTTTTGAGGTTAAAATTTTCTATGGCAATTTCCAACATTTCTATTGGTACTGCTCCACATTCCACAGCTTTATGAAGGAGCTGTTTACTTTTTTTGAAATTACCTAACAAGATAAAAGGAAAATGTTTTTCTAATGCAACAATATTTACCTAACCAGATACTTATTCATCAGAACCTGGGAAAAAATTTTAAACGTTCAGCCAGCATAATTTAACCTAAAGTTCATTCACTTTATTCTATAGATAAATAAGCAATCTCTCACTTCTCACTAATGTTACTCCAAGTTCTTCTGTTAATTCAAATTCAAATTCCTTATACAATATTTAATTCTGCACTACTGTTGCTGTTGTGTGCCCTTGAGTCAGAATCAACCCATAGATGAGCCACCAGTGGGTTTTCAGAGGCAGTTAATCCTCTCCCTAAGACAGGTGGATTTGAATACCTTTGGGAAGTATGCCTTACAGCTCAGTTTCTTACCACTAGACCTCTCAATGTATTTCTTTTTACTGTCCATTTCACAAGTGACAGATTTAGTTAGCTTCACTGCAGAATACACAGCAAAAGCCAATCAGAAAAGAAGAAAACCTGCAGAATTTATTGAGAAGGAAAACTAAGCTCTAGACAGTTCCATGAGGTTCAATCTGTTATAATACAGTAGAAAAAGAGCAAGAGTAGCATAAGGATGGCCTTTGGTCTGGCAGTGCAATTCCTCATCACTAGAGCTACATGTAAATAAGATGCACAGTACCTCTGCATGGGGAATACATTACCAAGAGCCGGGTGCATCCTCAGATGCAGAATCCTTAATCTGAGAGATTCCAGTAATAGGAGACAGAAAACTGTGATGATGGAAGTAGCAACAGACTAGGCTGGTAAGAGTCAAGTACTTCAGTCAAAGGCTTCCTGGTATAGTGAAGTAATTTATAACCACTGCTGCTGATTTTACTTCTAACTTATAATGACCCTCCACCAGGTTTCCAAAGTTGTAAATCTAAATGGGAGAAGACTGCTTATCTTTCTCCCTGGAAGCCACTGGTGGGTTTGAACTGCAGCACAGGCAGAAGTTAAAGTGTTTCATAACTCTTCCCAAGCAATGCAGAGGCTAGGATAAGGACTGTGAGGAAACTCAAAAGAAAGCTATCCTGATCAAAGAACTCTGTTTTATTACTCCTAAGTTAATGCTGAATTATTAACCTGTTAGTTTGTGCCAGCTGTTGATTTGAAACACATGCCTTCAGGATGGCAGTGCAACTTCTTACTACTAGCTATTGTGAGTATGGTCTTTGATCTCTATGTGGTCATTACAATGAATTCTCAAACACACAACAATGTATGGAGTGTGGTGGGAAAGATGACTGCCGTTAAAAGTAAAAGGGCTAGAGGAATGAGGTTAGCTTTGGACTGAGGTTGCTGATCAAGATTCTGCTCCTTTCTCATGAAATTATATAAGTGGATCTGACATTTCAGTTTTATAGATTCCTATAAAACAAACAGATCTGTCTTAGAAAAAGTGCAACCAGAGTGCTCCTAGGAGACAAGGATGGTGAAACTTCATCTCACATATTCTGCACATGTTACCAGAAAAGGGTTTTCCTTGGAAAAGTAGAGTAACAGCAAGGAAGAATCTCAACAAGATGGATTGAAAAAGAATAGAAGAGGGTTCAGACGTGTTGTTCATAAGGTCGCTATGTCATACTCAACTTAATGGCACCTAATGAAATAAAATATATTCATGCACCACACTGTCTACAGGACTTCAAGGATGTTGTATATTTCCTGCAAGCCGATCTATTAACCTTGTTCAAAAGAATCACAATTTTTATCCTGAGGCCACTTTCTGTATATAATTCTTAATACATAATGCATTTTGAAATTTTCAATATTTATGTGGGGTTCACAGAAAAGAATACTTCAAATAAAGTAAATAGAAGAAAGGTATTTGTTATTGGTTTTGTGTGTCATCAAGATGGAAGTGACTCACAGCTGAGTGTCTAGCTGGCTTTCAAAAGCTATAAAACACACTGGAGGAGACTGTCCATTTTTCTCCCTGCTAAACAGAAAATCTTAGAAGTCTGAACGAAGAAAAGAAATTTAGAAGGACTCTCTTGGTGGTATAGTCACAAATGTTCAAACTACCAGGTAAAATGTTTACAGTTTTTTAACCCATCAGGAGAAGTCTTTGAAGTTGGGCTTACTTGGTGACCAACCTGCTTCTGAGAGGACACAGCCTCGAAAACCCCTGGGGTAGATCTATTCTTTATCAGAGTCAGAAGTGAACTGACTAAATAGCAACTGGTCAGAGAAAGATGGACAATCTCTTTCCATGCAATTTACAGCCTCTGAAAGCTCACTGGAGGATCAGCTATGATTGGGTCCCAACTTAATGGATGGTATATGTCAACAACAGACAGCAACTAACAACACTATGAGAAATGAAATATTTTTTTTTCTAGCTAGGAAAAGGATGATTTTTACGAGTCAGCTGATGAAATAAAATACAGACTGAAGAATAAATTCAGATAACTAGGATTAGGATACTATCTAAATAGGTAGAAGTTTAGGGTTCTCAAAGTTTACACACACTTTTTCTCTAACTTTCACCCTGGAAATACTTGCCAGTGACTCCGGTTTAGGTTAGCCATTGTTTATTATCACCGGAGGAAAACAGGATCAGAGTTGAGGCAGAATAAGGAAGAAGGAAAAGAGAAACACATGGTTGGAGGACCAATTCAAAAAGGACCAGAGATCTCACTGAGTAAGAAAGAGTGAAGAATGGCCACATCAGAAATGGCTCTGATCTTACCAAATAAGGTCCAGAGAACTAAGAGTCAAGTGAAAAATAAATATCTACAGGTTACTTTTTTTTCCAAAAGGGCAAGTATATTTCAATGTTATTTTAGTGTTTTAAAGCCAAAGTCTAAGAAAAAGGTATCAAACTCTTGCTTAAGTGACTTAAATCTTTCATCCCACAAATACTTAAGCAAGCTGCCTTCCTTTAGCTACTTGTTCAATTTAACCCTCTATACATATTTTGTTTCCCCTAACAAGGTGAAGAGACAGTGTAATGGATATTCTCTCCATTTACCTTTAGGTGGCATTCTTCACCCATATTCTTAGCTGATCATCAACTTTAATACCTTTGCCTCAAATTCCACTACATATATTTAACATTAGAAAATAAATCACATAGGAAAAGACTTGTATTTAAAATGTGAATTTGACATTTTCAGATTACCTTGTGAGAGTTCAAATTGTGCAAAAGATATATGCACAAAAGCAAATTTCTTGAAGTTTGCTCTGGCCATCTGAAAGTAGTCACGTGCATCATCTGGCTCTTGAATACTGCAAAATATTTTAATAAAGATTTCAGAGTCAAATATTAGGGGGAGGAAAAAGAGATATCAAACTTGGATAGTGCCTCATGCTGTTTCCCAAAAGACATGAAATACTGTTTTCTTTCTTTAAAGTTAAATGGCAACAAATTGTTTTTTAAAATATTTTGTAGGCAGAATCTTAGAATATGTAACTTTTGCAGAACTATATACATAATAAAGTTTATGCTTACCCCTACTTACTAATTATTAACAAATATATTTTCCCTTGAGGGGACTCTTAATGTTTCCATCAGCCTTTTTGTAATTTAGTCACCCACTATGTAATATCATTAGTTAAATGCTGTTAAAATGTCAATACATACGCTTTCAATTCAGCAAATCTCACTTGGATTCGAGCAAAACTCTCATTCTGGCCATATTTATCTGGAGGAAGTGATTCAATTGCTTGACTGTAACGACCAATTAATTTGTTCAAAAGGGCATCACTTAAGGGGACACTGTTTCTTTCTAGTTTGAGCAACAAATTCAACCAGTCCTCTGGGTTATTTGTCATCATCATAATTTGGTTTTCAGTTCCTGAGTTATCTAAATAAAGAGAAAAAACATCTTAGAAGATAAAAAAAGAAATGCCAAAGTACATGTTTTCCTCAAACTATTTATATTCTCAGTATCAAATACATTTCTAAAATTTTTAACTGTTCACAGAAGTTGCTGTTCTGTGCTGTAGAGTCGGAAGTGACCCACAGTTGACCCTTCAACAGGTTTTCAGAGGCAATAAGTTACATAGGAGGAGACTGCTCATCTATATTCTGTAAAGCACCTGGTTAATTAAAACTGTGTTCTTCTGGGAAGGCAGTGCAAAAATCCCAAGAAATTTGCACCGCAACAAGATAAACAACCCAACTGAAAATGGGCACAGGTATGAACAGACACTTCCCCAAAGAAGATTCAGATGGCAAACAAACACATGGAAAAGTGTTCAAAATCCCTAGCTCTGAGAGATGCAAATAAAAACAACTGTGAGATACCATTTCACCCCAGTAAAATTAGCAAAATTTAACAGAACAGCAAACAACAAACAATGGAGGGGCTGTGGAGAAATTGGAACCCATACTCACTGTTGATGGGAGTGTAAAATGGTGCAAACACTCTGGAAGGCTGTACGGTGCTTTTTCAAAAAGTTGCCAATAGGCGCAGGCCACTTCCGGCTTAGCCATGGCTGCTAATGCTACCACGAACCCATTGCAAGTACTGCCGCTAGAACTTGTGGACAAATGTATAGGATCAAGGATTCAAATTGTGATGAAGAGTGATAAGGAAATTGGTGGCATGCTTCAAGGTTTTGATGACTTTGTCAATATGGTCTTGGAAGATGTCACTGAGTTTGAAATCACATCTGAAGGAAGAATTACTAAATTATATCAGATTCTGCTTAATGGAAATAATATAACAATGCGAGTTCCTGGAGGAGAAGGACCTGGAGTGGATTTTCTTGACTGATTGCTAGCTCCTGTTTTGTTTTAGAAAGGCACAACATGGATTTTTATTTTTTTTTAAAAAACCCTTTTTAATTTTGAAATTCTGTAATGCTGTTTCCTGTTACAGGGAAATGTTTTAAGATAAATTGTAAATGCCAATTTTTATAAGTTAATCATGATTATTTTGGGAGAAAAGTAAACAGTTTGATATTTGAAGACCAAAATAAAAATGTTTTTTGGTTAACTGCAAATTTGTAGTTAGTCACTACTTTTCCTCACATTTTATGCCCATTTGCTTTGTCATTTATGTGACCATTTGATTCTGAGCAAGTGTATTTAAAACACTTAGAAGTGATTACTAGCAAAATTAACTTCAGAACAGGCACTGAAGGATTTTTCTACTGAACCCAAATTCTGCTAACCTTTATTACAAGCAAACAAAATGTACAGCTCATATATACATGTGCAAAGAGCAAGGAATTAAATTGAAAAAATTGATCACTTTTTGCTGTACATCTTCTTAGACTTTCTCACTATAATTTTTATTTTAAAACTCATTCTTCTTAAACATACTGTTTTGTAATCATCATTTAAATCCTCTTTTGAATTTAAATGGAAAGCACTGTTTCATATAAAATATTCAACATTTTAAAACCTGTGCTTAGTTTTCTCAATAAATCTATTTGTTGCAAATTAAAAAAAAATAAAGTTGCAAATAAAAATACATTTGACCCAGTAATTCCACTACTGGGAATATATACTAAAGAAACCAGAACTGCCACCTGTGTTTATTGCTGCTTTGTTCACAATAGCAAAGAGTTGGAAACAATCCAAATGCCCATCAACAAATGAATGGATAGAGAAACTGTGGTCTATTCACACAACACATACTATGCTGCACTGAAAAACAAGGAGCTCATGAAATATTATACAAAATGGGTGACTCTGGACAACATTAAGCTGAGTGAAATATCTCAGTCATAAAGGGACAAATACTGCATAATGCACTGTTATAAAGTAGGGCTGACATTGGGGCTAGGGGGGAACCTAAGAAAAGAGGGCATAAATAATGTATTCTGCATTGAAACAGATGAGGGAGAAAATGGTTTGAAAGGAATATATGATTAGGTATTATTTTCATGGCAAGAGTCCAGAATGAGAGCTGCATGGTAGAGTGTACTGGGGCTGCGGGTGGGGACTGTATAATAATGAACGAATTTTTTTTACTTTTTAAAGGGAAAAACCAACTGGGGGGGGTAGGGGTGGGCAGGGAGGAAAATGTGCAAGAATGAATGAATGAAAATCCAAAGTCTCTATAAATTTTCATTAAAATTTCAATTAAAAAAATCATATAAAATTTGAGATTTCTGTGTTGACGACAAACCTTGAAATTTTTAAGGTAAAGTGAAGGTGATATGGTGGTGATATCACCGAGTCAATTCTGACTCTACTTAAACCCTAACAGAATGAAACACTGCCTGATTCTGTAGCATCTTCACAATCTTGGCTGTGTTTGAGCTGCTTGCTGTAGCCACCATACTATCATGCATCCTTGAAGGCCTTCCTCTTTCAGCTGACCCTCTCCTCTAAGCAGGCTTTGTTTCCAAGGACTCTTCATTGCTGATAACATGTCCAAAGTATGTAAACTAAAGTCTTGTCATCTCTGCTTCCACGGAGCATTTTGGCTATATTTCTTCCAAGTTAGGTCTGTTTTTAATTGTATTTGTTGTTGTGTTGCTGAGTGCCATCGAGTCTAGATGAAAGATGAATGAAAGACCTGAACACTTGTATAACTTTCGTCATTTCTCCAAGTTCATAGAGTTTCCGGAGGCAAGCAATTTCGGAAGTGGATGCCACTCCTGCTTCCAGACTTGTTTTAATTGGGGAGCTCCACCAAACACTGTCCACCATGGGTAACCATTTTTTGCATCTGACACATCAGTGTCACAGTGGTTAGTATCACAGCAACCACAAGTAATATCTGTACAGCAAATGGAGAGACCAGTGCTGTACCACTTAAAACAATGTTTGACCAAATACAATTAAAACCAGGCCTGAGGGCCACTGATTTAAATCACCCACTTTTGGCTTGGTAGCATGACTTTCTATCCACTAGGCCCAGAGCTCCCTCTCTGTTGTCGCTATTGTTGATGAGTGTTGTTGAGGTGTAGAATACTCATACCGACCCTATGACAAAAGATCTGAACACTTGTATAACTTTGAATATTTCCCCACATTCATAGTTTCTGGAGGTAAGCCAGAACTAGCAAACAAGCCTCAGCAGAATCCAACTGGCTGCTGCAGATGACTTCCAAACTGGATTCTAGCCCCATATTAACGAATAAATGTGTTTTTAAATAGGCTAAATCACATCATCTCACACCCATTAGCGAGTCAACATTCCACCCTAATCTTCACCAGAACTAGCAAACAGAACTTCATAGAATCCAATTGGCTGCTGCAGACAACTTCCAAATAGGACTCCAGTCTGGTTATCCAATATGGTAAAGTCAGTATTATTCACCAACACCAAAATTGAAAGACATCATGTAAAAAGAGCAAGGACAGTATGGGGATGGCCAAGTCTCTCTACTAATTCCACCAGAGGGTACTGCCCCAGGAGGCCCTGCTCCTCAGGTCAGCAAGGCTTCTTTACTCATCTATACAGTGGGATACATGTGCATGTGTCCCACTTCCGCTCTCTAGTGCACCCAGATGGTCATCATCAATGAGTACAGACATGAGTTTCCTTTAACTTCCCAGTCCTGGAAAGGGGCTCTGATGGGCACCAACTTTTCCCTGCCTCAAATGCCAAACTGCTTGCTCCAGTTTTAAAACTGGAACAGTTGCCCCTTTTTCCTTCTGCTTGCCCTTCTTAAAATTGTCAATTTCTTTACCTTTTCATCCTAGGTGGGCCTGGAAATACATTCAAATGCAAATCCACTAACACAGGGGATGTTGTTCTTATGTTTAACAGCAACCCTATGAACAAAGGCTCTGAACCCAGCCCAAACCTGAGCCAGCCTACCATGTCCAACACATCTGACCCTACTGCCAGTTACTGTGTCCATCCATCTTGTTCAGGGTCTTCCTCTCTTGTGCTGACCCTCCACCCTTCCAAGCATGATGTCCTTCTCCAAGAACTGGTCCCTCTTGGCAATAGGCACAAAGAGAGTTGTGCAGCTTAATCTTTTCTCTAGACCAAGCCTCCGTGCCCACAACTTTTAACAAGCATATCTCCAGGGCAAATTTTCAGGTTCAGCACAATCAAGTACAGACTTATATATTTTCTAAATCTACAACATCCAGTACTCATGTCTCCCATACATCTTAACATTAAAACACAGAAGAAACAGCAATATCCTTCAAGAACAACCAACATGAAATTTAAAACGTAATGCTGTTGTTGTGTATCATTGAGTTGGAAATGACTCATCGTGGTCTTGCCTTTTTTCCAAGGAGCTTCCAACCTGGTGGCTTCCAACAGGTTAGCAGGGCAATTCTTCACTACTAACTCACCAGAGCTCCCTTAAAACACAAGTCTTTAAAGACCAAGAATTCTTAGTTTCAACTTCATTTTTCACTCTTAAGTGCCATCTTCAATATATCTTATTCATAAGATTATGGCTTGAGGCCTGTTGTCTCAGGCTAAAAGAGGCCTCTCAACTTTTCTTTCCATCTTTGTAGTAGCAAAAGTAAACATCTCTGCTGTTAATCATATATAGTTATTCTTAAAGGGCGGGGGAGAGAATCCCGTACTTTCATGGGTCTGGAGCCATTGCAATGAATCCTGTTCCTGAAATCAACTGTAAAAACAGCAAGAGCAGTGTGGAGAGTCTAATCTCTAACAATTAACTATCAACTACTCAAAAATTTACATGACACACCATGGCAACAGCAATCAAGAAATCAAAAGATATGGGAACAATGATTGTCAAGGACCTCTCCAAATTGCTAAAGGACAATGCATTCAGTTTAAATTTACTAAAATGCTCCTTATCAAGTCTTTTCAATTACATCCTTGCATCTGAAAGCTGGACAATAAATTAGGATTACAGAGGAACTGATGTCTTTGAGTTGTGGCCTTGGAGATGAATCAGATTATCCCATGGACTTCTGAAAATAAAAACCCCAAGTTTATCCACAAGGAAATGCCACTAGCAGCTCCTCTGAGTCAAGAACAGCAAAAATTCGGGCGGGATGGGTGTGTCAGAGGCAATGCGATTGGCACAGGATAGAGCAGGGTTTAGGGCTGTTGTACAGAGGGTCGCTATGAGTTGCAAACGACTCGACGGCACATAACAACAAAAGCAACATGGGTATATTGTTAGGAGGCTAGTCTTTGGACAAGGACATTATGCTAGAAAAAGTAGAAAGGGTCAGAGAAAGGAAGGAAGACTCCAACAAGATGGATGGACACAGTGACCATAACAATGGGCTCAAGCATATTAGAGATAGTGAGGATGGCACAGGTTAGCACCAGGTTTAACCTGTTGCTCACAGGGTTGCTATGAGTTGTAGTTTTCTGGATCATTATCAAACAACCACCATGATTAACATGTCATTCCTTTTATCTTAGAGGGAACACAAGATTTGTAACTCTAAAAAATAAGAAAACTTTACCTGTTGTATCAGTCGAGATTTTATTCAAGCTTAGCTCATCAGTGAGGTCTTCATTTTTAAATTTATTTTTAATGTCTCTTACTTTGTTCATTATGGAATCAATTGTCAATTCTCTGCTACTTACATCTTCAGCCTCCATTTCTAAGGAAAATAACATTGAACTCAGTCTCAATTGTCATTTACATAACAAAGGGGAAGGGAGATGTCAACATTAGTGATTTGGGAAGGAAGGGGCTCAAATATTACTCTTTTGAAAACATGTAAACGCAGATTTTATCCAGGTAGTATTTGTGGAGTTACATAAAAACACAGAGTAATCTGTAATTAATTCAGCAAGGTTTCCGGCTAGGCCACATATACTTTTTCTTTGCCCAAAAATAGCTATTGAACTGGTGGCTTTTAAGATTTTCTTCTACTAGCTGAATCCATTCCTTCATACTTTCTTGGAATTATTTTCTTGTATTATTGCTCTGTGCATTGTCTATAAATATGTACATATATATTTATACACAAACATCTATGTTTTTAATGTGATGAGTTTTGCTTGGATTTAGCAAGAAAATCACTGCTTAAAAAAAAAAAAGAAAAAGTTTTACTTATCTGCTTCATGTTGAATAATGTTTACAGTGCTTCCAAAACAGGGCTTAATAAACACATCACCAAAGCACTTTGTTCATAAATGATGTTTCAGATTTGTTCGTGTGGGTATCCTGAAGAATGCTCTATCATTTTATAACTCTAATGATAAGACTACTATGCTGTATTTGTACTGAACTGTGCACTTGGCTCATATGCACATCTGGTTTAACCAAACGTCTCTCGACTTCCTTCCTTCCTCTCAATCTCATCAATGAGATTTTTCAAACACGAATCCAGTTATCTCGGTCACTGACAGCAAAGAGGTACCCGACCGCACAAAGGGAAAATGGTGTGAAGAGGTAAGGAACAAAATACCATCTCACATCTAAAATTAAAATCCAAATGCTGCTTTCAGGACACGCCCACCACTTTCTCTCCGCGTTCCAGCCCCACCAAATATGAGAGGCAGTGTTCTGGAGGCATATTCCGCAACCCAGGTCCCTGCCTGGTACACACGTACCATCGCCTCCTGTGTCCTCAGCAAAGCTGCCCGGGCCGATAGGAACCAAATGGAGAGCCTTCCCTCCTCCCCCGTAAGATCTAGCCGCGTCCTATGTGGCCTACCCGATTTCGAACCGCCCATCCTTGCCCCCATCCCTCTCCGACCCGCGTCGCTCAAAAGCCCACACACCGGCCGCCGCCGCCGTTCCTCCATGAGTCCACGAGGACGAATTCATAGCCAGGAAGGTGAGTTAAGGAGAATAAAAGCCGGGATCCAAACACCCAGCCAGAAACGTTTAAATTCTCGTGCCGTTACGGCCGCCACCCTCGATTGGCTGGCGCGAGTCACATGAGCGCGCCGTAGCTAACGCATGCGCGCCTGCCGCGCCCCTTCCCCTGCAGTTGGAGAGTCGGATCTGCGCCGGTGAAATGACGGGGCGGCTCCGGGGATGGTGTCTGCTTTCCCATCCCGGGCGTTTCCCGACCGAGTGTCGGCCTGTTTTCCTCAACCTTCCTGTTTAACCAGGTTCAGTTTTGCTATCCAGCAAGGGGAAAATAAGGGCGGACCCGTTGCTCCTAACGATGATAGTCTTAGAGCCCATGACTCAGCCAGTCCAACGCTTCTGCTGCCTTACATCATGGTCACTGGTCAAGGCTTAGAATGTGGAACAAAAAGATTTTTTTACAGAGTTTAATCAGCGCTGCCACAAATTCAAATTTCCCCCCCCCCTTAAGCTTTCGTGTGTGCCCTTCCCCCCATCCTTTGTCAAAATTAACTGCACATTTCACACCTATTTTGCAGGGTATTCTTGAACCATTCCTTACTGTTCCTCCACCTCAGCATCCTGCACCTCATGGGCCCGACATAGGGGCTCAGAGTTTTTCTGTCATTTTTTAATTAATTTTACTTAAAGTTTAGAGAGACTTTCGGATTTCCATTCATTCATTGTTGCACACTTTCTTCCCTGCCTACCCCTCCCCCCAGGTCTCATTTCTCTTCAAAAAGTAAGAAAAAGTTCTTTAATTGTTATGCAATCACCCCCACGCCCCACCCCCTGCTCAGATTTCTTAAAGAGAATTTCCCACTAAACTCAAGTGATGCTCAGAGGCTATGTATGTGATCCAGGAAAAACGGACAAATGATCCTATCCATTTATGATACAGAGGCAATACTGCTAGTGGGCCAGAATTATGACATAAACAGGACAGTTTGGTTGGTTTTGTCTATGTGTAGGAAACTGCCACCTTTCTCTCATAAGATGTCCTTACAAGAATCCCATTCTTACTGACCCTCATGGGAACCATTGATCACTTCATTCCGTTTCCGTATCTGCTAACTATGCATTTTTCTTTCCTTTGAGCAAAATTACTTGCTATATCACAGCAAGCTAGTAATTATCTCTGCACCCTTACATTTAATACTACTTTAACCCACAAGGAATTAGTTCACCAATTCTTAATGCTCTTTCCAGGCATGATTTCAAAATTTCAGTTTTTCTGAAAATGCTAGTGCTGAATAATTTTACCCTAGAACTCCTTTCTGTATACTCATTCTTAATGATCTGCAGTTGTCTACCTGTAAATAACATCTCTTTGTTGAGGACTTCCAAATTTTTAACTCCAATAGAGCTATCTCCTCTGAACGCATAGCTACTGGGTAACCATTTCCACATAAATGTTTAAAGGACATTTATTATGGATTGAATGTATCCCAACCGATATAGGTGTTAGGATTCTTTTATGTAAATCAAACTTGAAAATAGAGTTGTCTTTGTTTTGCTAATCAGATGTTCTATTAGATGAGTGGTTCTAAATCACCTATGAGTAATGAAAAAAGACTAGACAAAATAGCATGTACGTATGCACGCACATGCACAAGTACGTACACATATGGGCAAATGAATATGGGAAGGTAAATCCCACTGTGAGCTTTTACGAGAAACCAAGGAATGCCAGGACCACCAACAAGGAAGGAATAAATATGACTGAGGCCCTAACTTGGACGTTTAGCCTCTAGAACTGTGAGAAAATAAAAAAAAATTATGTTTTATAAAGCCACTCACTTGTGAAAAATCCTTCCAACAGCCCTAGGGAACTACGCATCTTAAACTAAAAATGTCCAAAACTAAATGACTATATTAAACCTACTTTATACAAAATCTCCTTCTCTGTAAAATACAACTTTGTTGTTGTTGTTGACTGGCTTCGGGTCAAGCATGACTCATAGTGACCCCAAGAACAAAAGGCATGAAGCCCCTCTACAACCACCAACATTTGTCAAAGTTCATAACCGTTTTACTGATCTTTTTATTTTCTTTTTAGGAAAAAAAAATCTTAGTTCCTTCCTTGAACCCCTTATTCCTCAGTATATTACTGCTAGAATGGCTATAATCAAGGATGCTTTGGGCAGAATATTAAATGATCCAGGAAGAATTCAAAGAAGATGGAAGGAATATAATGAGTCATTGTATAGAAAGGAATTGGAAGATACAGAAGAATTTAATGAAATAACATATGAGCAAGAGCCTATGGTGATGAGGGAGGAAGTTCAAACTGCTTTGAAGGAAATAGCAAAAAATAGGGCCCCAGGAATAGATGGTATACCAATTGAAGTATTTCAGATAACAGATG